AGCCATATTTTTTTAAGATATTTTTATTGATTCTGAGAGAGAGGAAGGGAGAGGGAAACAGATGAGAGAGCAAAACATCCATCGGCTGCCTTCTGCACACTCCCACTGGGGATCAAGCCTGCAACCCAGGCATGTGCCCTGATGGGGAATGAAACTGGCAACCTTTCTGCGCTCAGGACAATATCCAACCAACTGAGCCACACAGGCCACGGCAAAGCCATACAAAAGAAAAATTCTTAGCCTAGGCATATGGTTTAACCCTTATTAATACAACCCCCATTTCTGTTTTTGCTTTTTTAAATCATGAATCAACCTATATTTTCATCTTCTACTATTCTGGCTGAGAATTAAAAATTTAAGTATTTGATTAAATTTAAATCCCTGATTAAGTACCTCTTTGAAAGAGATGGGAATTTTTGTCATACAATTTGACTTTATTAATGTAAAAATAAAAATATTTCTTATAAATAAAAGGTACATGACATTCTAAACAGTATCCTATAAAAGTCAAAAGCAATTCATAAAAATTTATTTCTTACAGCCCTGGCTGGGTAGCTCAGTTAGTTGGAGCATCTTCCTGTACACCAAAAGGTTGTGGGTTCGATTTCCGGTCAAGGCACATACCCAGGTTACAAGTGTGATCCCCGGTCAGGCCACATGCAGGAGGCAACAGATCAATGTTTCTCTCACATCAATGTTTCTCTCTCTCTCCCTTCCTCTCTCTCTAAAATCAATAAAAACATATCCTTGGGTGAGAACTTTTAAAAATTATTTTTTACAAGTGATTTGTTTCTGCAGATTTCTAACGGCTTAAAATGATAAGCAGAACTACATCTTTGTGAAATTCACACCTAAAACAAGTAATAAACTCAAGAGCTGAAACTATAGTTATGAGGATGCATTTAGGTTAATATTTGCATAATCGAAAACACAGAGAAAAACAGGACTATCTTATCCACCTGATTTACAGAAGTTTCACCCAACAGAGGTATAAGAATGACTAACAAATGGTTGTAAAGCTATCTATAAATACTAATGCCATTATAATAATTATAGCCAATTAGTAAGATTTAATTGCTCTGACACTTAAAAGTATTCTATAAATAATTCATACAACTCCATCTAGAATTTTAGACTCAGAAAAGGAGAAAATGCAATGTTCACTGGTACAATGCCTACAAAAAACTTCACTTAAAATTTTTTTTTACTTTAGGCATCTGCAAAGAACTGGAAGGTAATATACACAAACAATAAAAGGCAGTTTTGCTATAATGTGGAATGCTGACTTTTTACCATGTTGGTTTCCCTTCATAGTTTAAAATATTTAAAACAAAATAAATATTTTATTTGACAGAGAAGTTAAAATGTGAGGGAGAAGGTACATTAAATATGTAATTAGACAAAAGGAAATGTGATAGAAAGAAACAATTTATTTTTAATACTAACACTGCCTGACATATTGATGGTAAACAATAGTTGACTGACAGAATTAATTTCCTAATTTAATATTTCTAACAATCCTGAAATCTCAGAGAGGCTGTATTATAATTATAAAAAAAAAAGCACCAAATGGCTCTTTCCAGTGGGATAGAGTAAAAACAAACAAACAAAAATAAACTATCAATTAGTCTCATAAATGCCTGCTATAAGGATGCAATTTAACTCCTTATTTCCTTACTATTTAAGAGCTAAGATTTGAGCTTTCAAAATTTGTACTATCCTTCCATAACTATTTAAAAGGATGAGAGATACACTCTCCCGACAAACCACATGCCCACAAAAACAAAAAGCTAGAAGCAGTCTCACCCTTACAAACCTTATGTATGTTTTTCTTCTGGAATCTATCATATCCTATCTTGTGTCATAATCATTATGTACCTGCTTATTTAACTGCACTAGATTTTAAATCCACTGAGGGCAGAGTCAACTACCCATCTTTCTATGTATGACCCATCTTTCTATGTATCCCACGTAACTTAGTAAAGAGTCTTGATTAATACTCTGAACTTCCTGCAGACTCTGTCACCTAAAAAGAACTAAGGCTTGGTAATTCATTGTAGCTTGGTTTAAAAACAAAACAAAAACCTCTGGAATTATTAGAAAAGTAGTGCTCTCTCTGCAGGGAAAATAAGGGGTACTACCGCACACTACTTATCTGCTGTCAGTTAAGCACAATCCAGACCAAAAGACCTCTTTCTTGCCCCCTTTCCCCTTCAAAGGCTGGATTTGATTCCTTCCATCCAAGTAAACAATGTCTCCTAGTTAAGGACAGTCTGCCCAGCTCACTTCAGAGGACCTGGAGAGGCTGATATAATCTATGGCACTTTCTATTGTCTGTAAGTGCAGGAGAATAAAATCAAAGTTTAACCTGTGAGCTATTGGCCAGGTGAAAACCCTAGAAGGTGGACTCTAGAATCCTATAAAAGCCATGGAATCCAAGTCCTTCTGAATTCAACCTACACCAAAGCTCATACCAGAGTGACCTCACTGTAAACTCTGCAAATGCACCCCAAACTGACTCCTCACAAGTGAAAAGATGTGTATGTCCTAAGGTGTAAATCATATGTGAAACTTTCTGACATACTCCAAGTCATTTCCCTGTCCTGTGGGTAGTAACACAGCTCACAGAAGAGACAAACAGGCAGAGATGATCAATCAAGACAATTCAAGATTGAAAAGTCTATGTTTGAAAATGCACAGTAAAAAACATACAGAAGGGCCCTGGCCAGTGTGGCTCAGTTGGTTGGAGCATTGTCCCATACACCAAAGGCTGTGGGTTCAATTCCCAGTCAGGGCACATACCTAGATTGCAGGTTAGGTCCCATTGGGGCAAATACAAGAGGCAACCAATCGATGTTTGTCTTTCACATCGACGTTTCTATGTTTCTTCCTCTTTCTCTCTCCCTCCCTCTCTCTAAAATCAATGGACACATCCTTGGGAGAGGATTAAAAATTATATATATATATATATATATATGTGTGTGTGTGTGTGTGTGTGTGTGTATATATATAAGGTTATACAACAGTGTTAACAGCAGTTATTCCTGGGGAGGGATATAAGAAGTAGAAGTGTGCAAAGCATATTTTCACTTATTTCACAGGAGTGGACAAAAGTAGGTTTACAGTTGTTCATGTGAAAAATACAAAAATAAGTAACAATACAAGAGTAAACTGTGTTTCCCATACTCACAACTATAAACCTAGTTTGCCCACCCCAATATGTGCACTGTATTAATTTTCCAAGAGTATCAATTTGCTTCTGTAATTTTAAAACTTTGAAAGTTAATTCTATTTTTTTCAAGAAGGTTAAATAGACCAATATGGAATTCAAAGAAAAAATAAATGCCATTTTGGGCTATTAGAGACCTACAGATCAAACAGAAATAACAAAGAACGATTGATAAAGAAACAAAAACGCTCACAGCAACTGTCACCCACTACTCAGCATTCACTACTTTGATTATACAGTATTAACCACCAGGGAGAGCTGAGCACCCTCCCGCCAAAATTATATCCACTCTAACAACCAAACCTCTCTTCAAATTTACCTAATTTAAAAGATTAGGCTGGCCCAGCCTGCATGGCTCAGGGGTTGAGCGTGGACCTATAATTCAGGAGATTAAGGTTTCATTCCTGGTCAGGGCACATGCCCTGGTTGGAGGCTCGATCCCCAGTGGGGGGGCGTGCAGGAGACAGTGATCAATGACTCTCTCATCATTGATGTTTCTATCTCTCTTTTTCTCTCCCTTTCCCTTCCTCTCTCTGAAATCAAGATATATTTTTTAAAAAAAAAAAGTTAGGCTGGCATAAAAAAATGGGTTTTTTTGCACCACATCTGTTTTAATTTTTTGGAAGAATTACACTTACACACACACACACAAGTTTACATCTTACTGGGGCTCATGTCTTATTTCCTTAAGAGAAAAAAGTTTCCCAATCTGAAAAGCAAACTACTGGATAATTAATTCTATTATCATTTTAATTGAGTGTTCATATTTTCCAACTGTTTTGTCATGACAATTATTGGGTTAAAAAAAGTAAAAGTAAAATTTTATACAACTGACTTCTGAAAAAAGTGGAGGGAGGACACAAACTATAATCTGAAAACAGCACTATCCGGCCATAATGCCAAATGTAAATAATGTCATTAAATATTTTAGCAAAGTAAATATGACTAAACATCATTAAAAGTTAAATTTGTGACTTCAGCATCTTAAAAACTAATGTATAAATAGCCAAACTTATTCTAAACGTTCTTTCAATTTTGGTTCATTTTCCTAAAAAATATTAAGAGCAGTCATATTGAAAATGGCCAAAATCACCATAAATTAGGGGAGAGAGACCAGAGGACAAAACCACTGAGCAAATTATTTTGGAGGGCAGGATTTGTTTCATCTAGTTTATAAACCCATAATATAGTCGCAAATATTTTTAAAACATAGTGTACATCTCATTTCCCACCCTCCCCTCATCAGGCCACTACTTCTCCCTCTCCTTCACCTTTATTAGTTTTACAGTGTCTTCCCAGAGTTCCCTTTATACTTAGAAAAGCAAACACAGGTTGATATTCACATTCCACCCCTCCCTTAACACATAAAGTAGCATATCATTCACACACTATTGTACACCTTGGTGTTTTTACTTTATAACATACTTTGGAGATCTTTCCATATCAGTACACAGAAAGCTTCCTCATTCTTCTTTTTCACAGCTGATCATGACTAGTTCAACCACTTTCACCGTCTTTCTTCAGGCTAACCTTTAATGGTGTTCTATTCAGTCGACTACGTAACACCTTAGTTTCTTTCCCCCTAACAAGATTTTAAAACAAAACAGACTTGAGGTGCCCCAAAGAATAACTTTCAAAAAACACAACGTATTATCTAAATTATTTCCTTTTTCAGTGTTTGTTTTTCAAACAGACAGGGAAAATATTCCACAATTTTCTCCTCTTATCAGTTAAAACTACATATTACAATGCAATCTTCAAGTGAAATTACCTTTTTTTTTTTTGGTTTGGACTTGGATCGGTGTAATAGTCAAATCAACAATGACAGTAAAAGTTTCTTTATTTCTTGTGCTTTTCTTTCACTGTAAAAGAAAACATTGATTTTTTTTTTTTTCAAGCCTTGAAGTCGCATAGCGTGGCATACTAATTACAAGACCCCACCATTTGATTCGACCTTTCACCTGCCTGGTCAGAGGCCTAGCCTTTTATCTTTGGGGATTCTACTCAGGATGACTTCTACCCCAGCAAAAACAAACTCAAGAACACAAGCTCTGCGGCGCTACGTGTTCGAAATTTCACACCAGGGGCCAGAGCGCCTGGACCAGCCACAGACTCCGGCTTCNGGCTTCGCAGGCGCCGAGTGGCGAGGCGCGGATTCACCGAAACAAGACCCCGCGCCGGGGCCCTCGAACCCGCGCCGCGCTCCCCAGGGACCGAGTCCGGAACCGCGACCACTAACGGAACCGGCCCAAGGGCGGCGACACCGACCGCGCGGACCGCGGCGCGCGGTTCGGGCGCCGGGAGGG